CTCCACTGTATACTTACAGTTCTTACAAAATAATTTTGCTTCCATGCAAATATTTAGATGAAACGGCATATGGTATAAATAGTCAGGCTTATCACGAAGTGACCTAACCCACAAAATTGAAAACAGTGACATTTTGCGAGAGTTAACTTACGATGGTCTATTCTATTACTCCTAGACGTGGCCTATAGTACAAAGTCTGTACTATAAAAATATATAGGCCATTTCGAGAGAATGGAATAGACCATTGTAAGTTAATCTGCTTTGTTTTTCAATTTTGTGGGTTAGGCCACTTCGTGATAAGGCCGACGATGTATACAATATTCTTAATCATTATCCAAAGAAACCGTAATGTCTTCAGAAATGCACGTACGTTTAATAAAAATGAACTTTATTGGTAACAAGCAGATACCAATTTTTCCTAAAGTTACTTACCAAGAAATTAAAAATTAGTAAGTTTTAGGCAAACTTACATCGATTCATACAAAATCGACTATACTGGTAGCAAGCAATTACCAAATTATCAGAAAAGTATTCAATAAAGAATTCAAACTTAGCAAATTTGACACAAATCTATATGCGTTTCATTCAAAAGCAGTTTTCCGGAAGTGATGGTTTCTTACCATTAAACCTTGGTACATTCCGCCGTTTTTAAATAAAACCTCAACAGTTATTGAACCAGTCTTCGTCGTAATTATTCATATCCCATCCATAGGTACCTACACTGCAATCATTATTGCATAGATTGCATATCGCGATCGCGCGTGGGTATTTAAGTTTATTAAATGCCATGAAAGGACAAGAAAGCGCCAAAGAGGGGAAATATGCGGCGGATGCACGCGTGGATATCCGTTAGCACGTGCCGAAGTGTAACGTCTAACGTGCGTCTTCTTTAAAGGGCCTGCTCGCATACCGGATAAGTCTGCCGTTGCTTGCTCTTTTTACAGGTACGCGTAAGGGTCAAGTTTGAAACCCTCGCGACCAGTAATCATATCAACAGATGGTCCCGGAATCACTGAACCGCGGTACCACAATACAAAAACGCCGTATTTTATGTTTGAAATAACTTTAATGCACAACTATTTTTTAGTTTTACCTACTGATATTATCAATCCAATTAATAAGACATGTTTCATAACATTAACGTATTTAAACATATGGTTATGACAATGTTAGGTACTTATTTAGTTCTAAACAGTTTATTAATTATTTAATTTACAGTTTTGTATTAATTTTTTTAAATAATATTATTACTTTATTAATGTATTATTATGATATAGTTTACTATGATTTTATTCGGTCTTGTATAAAAATTAGAAAAGTTTCAATAAAACTAAACATTAACTACTTTTCTTTCGACAAAATTGAATTAAATTTTTTATTACACAGACAATTTATGTCCGATTTGAATGAAATTTCAACAAAAAAAAAAGTAGACTTATCAATCTACTTTGGTGTGTTTAACGCAATAAAGAAAATTGGCAAAATTAACTTTAAAAAAAAATTCTGTGAACAAAATTTGCGAAAGTGTGTTCGTTTGTTTGCCTTTCAGGCAGCAGCGAAGCAACGGATCGACGTGATCTTTTGCTTTTTTTCATATATATTTTTTTAAAGTTACAGATCCTGGGATTTTTTGCGACGTTGCCAAATTTACAAAAAATTCCCAGAATCTGGGATTTTTTGTTTTCGTGTTTTTGCAGTACATAATTTTTCAATCCCAAAATCTGGATTCAGGATACCTTCAGTAAACCGAATTGCATTAACAGTGTCGCCAAATTTTCAAAAAATTCCAGAATCTGGGAAATTTTTTAAATCTTTAGGATACTTTCAGTAAGTCATCTTGCACTATTCAGCGGTGTTTTTTCTTAAAACCACGCAACATTTTTGTAAATTTCATTAAAATCGAAAAAAAAATTGTTTACATTAGTGCACTTTTTTATAAATTGTTCAATTTTATCTAAAAGACAATTTTATTTTGTTAAAAATAGGATTTCTCTGTTAAAGTAACAAAATACAGGGTGTCCCAGGTTTAATGATCTTAATTTTGCCAGTCGGTAGAGAATCAAAAAACAAAACGAATTTCCAAGGAAAACATGTATCGAAAAATTGAAAATAACTAAGATACAGATCCCCAATTTTTTAAATAAAAAAATATTTTTTTCTCATAACTTTTTAACTTTTGAAGTACAAACAAACACTGTTTACTGAAATGTCATTAATTTTCAAATGTATGCTATGGTAAAGCGAACACTTATTACCCATTTTCAAGTACCTAGGTATGAATTCCATGTCCTACACATGGGTGTCTGGAGATGTTTTTCAAACATTCAAACTCGAATATTTTTGTATCGAAGCGTCTTATCAAAAATTTACCGTAGTAACTTTATTTCCCTAATTGAACACAGAATTTAAAAATAGTCAGTATTTTAAAAAAGTCAGTGGCGTAAACATAGGTCGGAAAAAGGAAACCTACACCCTCAATATCTATGCCACTGGAGTGCCTTGAAAAGAATTGTTATAAGCAGTACGTGAGTCAGTATTTCCCAACTATATGCATAAAATTTTAGCCAAATTAGTGAAACGGTTTAAAAGTTATGGGAAAAAAACGATTTTTAGTTTCAAACTTTGGAGATTTGTATCTCACTTATTTTCAATTTTTCGATACATGTTTTCCTTGAAAATTTTTTGATTCTCTACCGACTGGCAAAATTAAGATCATTAAACCCGGGACACCCTGTATATACAAGAATTTTAATGATTGGATGTCGAAAATAGTATATTATGTATCAAGTTTGATAAACGACATTTTAGTCACGAATTTAATTTAGGCACCAGCGAGTGCTTAATTAAATTACGACAAATACTTAAAATTATCTAAAAAATTATTTAAATTAAATATTTGAATAAAGAGACATCTATATCTACGAAAATAAAGTAACCATCTCAATAACATTTTTTACGTAATTTTTACCATTAACATTGCCAGTTATTATTTTAATTTAACTTAACAATTATTGATACTTTAAAATATTAAAATATCTTAAAAATATGATTACGTTAAGAAAATATGTTTTTTATTACTATAATTTCAAAATATTATCACAAAGTATTAAAAATTCTTACACTGGAAATGTTAAAGGAACAGGGTGATCCCCTATAATGTCGCCCCCCTTTAACTTTTTTATTTTAAGTGTCCCAAAAAATTTAAAAGTGTGGTTATGTAGGAACTAAAAAATACTTTTTTTCTACGTAAAAAGAAAATTTTAAAATTGATCAGTATACAGGGAAAAACATAAAGCTTATTTTTTTTCAATGGATCACCCTATATATGAATTTATTTTTCGATTCCTTGTAAAATTCTGAGCATAATTTATATAACAACCATATACCTAAATTCAACTGTTTCTGAAAAATTCGCATTCGAAATGTCATCATTAAATGTTTTTTTAAACTGTTAAAAATCAAGAAGCCTCAGTATACCAAAATTTTTATTGAAAATAAATTACTATAGTGACATTATGTCAATATGTGTTGTTAAATAAGTAAAAATGGCGTACTCAGACAGAGAAAGACAAACTATTTCAACTTATTATCTTAAAAATAATTTAAATATTTCAGAAACGGTTGAATTTAGGTATATGGTATGTTATATGAAATATGCTTAAAATTTTACAAGGAATCGAAAAATAAATTCATATATAGGGTGATCCATTGAAAAAAAATAAACTTTTTGTTTTTCCCTGTATACTGATCAATTTTAAAATTTTATTTATACGTAGAAAAGAAGTATTTTTTAGTTCCTACATAACCACACTTTTAAATTTTTTGGGACACTTAAAATAAAAAAGTTAAAGGGGGGCGACATTATAGGGGATCACCCTGTACAAAAAGTACTTTTTGTTGTACCTTTAACAACTAGTGACAGTATTTATTGGAATTTCCGTTGGAATCTACCGGAGTTAAAATATCAAATTTTTCGGTGTAAATCAATCGCTGCATGTAAAAGCAGTTTTTTTACAGTAAAAGAGAAGATAATGTTTAATGAACACAGTACGCAAAAATGTTTAACGCTTTATCAGTTAAATCTAGTTAACTGCACTACTTCGGCGAAATCTAAAGGTGAGTACAAACGTTTTGAAGAATTTTACATTTAAGTTAGTATTATTATACAAAAAAGGCACTTTATTTTAACGACTGTATGACATTTGAAAACTGTCAAATAACTAATTTCAGCCCGTGACTAAAAACCTGTTGCTAACTTCAGACCGTGTCTAAAGCGCCATAAAGCCACAGCTTGTCAATGTGTATTTAAAAGGTCATGAAACATGTACGATAAACGTTTTTTTCGCAATATCTTAAAAACAAGAGGTAATTGAGAAAACTTATGGTTATTTTTGAAATCAGCTTACTCAATTTTTGGCCACCATGTGACAAAATTGGTGTGGATCAGTGTAATCAAAGTGTAATTTTAGAATTTTAACATATAACTACTATCGTGGGGTCTGATACGACGAGACCCCGACATTTTATTTTTTTTGCTCCACTACACATGTTTTGGCTGAAACGTTCACCGATCTCGGTATTCTCCTATCTATATACAGTGTGTGATAGGTGAAACGACTCTTTAATTTTTTGACGTCAGCCCTGCTTGGTTAAAAATTTTAACGTAACCAAAAAAGGCCAATCAATAAAATATTAAGATTAATGTATTTTATAAAGTCGTTTTTGATTTTGGGGTCACTTTTGACCCCCGATAGCAATTATGTTAGTTGAAATGAGCGATTGTAGTTTAATTTAATCTTTAATATTTCCAGCCAAACATCAACAATAATAAAAATATAAATAACTCATGCTTCATAGACGACGAAAATTGGCATTAGTAAACACAGAGATAGAGAATTAGACCAATAAAACGAATCTTCAATTGCATAACTCGTTCAATTTAGAAAACAATAAATTCCAAGTCAATGTCAATAACGCAATAAATATTTATTTAAACTTACCGAGCGTGAGGCAACTCAGAAGCGTTAAAAATCCGAGAGTATCCATTTTTAGTAGGGTAAACCACAAGTTAAGTACAAGCAATAAAACACAATCAAATAAAGAGCACGATAAAAACAAAAGTCGTAAGTCGGTGTGTTAGTTAGGTCGGGACGTTAAGGCGTCTAATTTAAAAATATACCGCGCCACTAACCCAGCTAACGCGAAGTTCAACTACAAACTGCCAGCGAACGCTCTATTTTAAAGTTTTCAGCCGGTACACGTTGTGTTAACTTAACCGTGCACGTTCTTTGCAATGAATAGACACCCATTATACCCACTTTTCCATCTAAAAATCTAGATATTGTAGATTAGTTTAATTATAAATAAAAAAGATCCTTTGGGATATTAAATTTATATGGTATCCCAAGCAACAATTTAATTATTTGTATATGGGACTATTGAAGAAACTTAAAAGTGTTTTGCGACAGTCGCCGGTCTCTTTATATTACTCTTTTATTACTAAGTTACGACTAAAGTGGGGAACAATTATTGAGTTCCAAAAAGGTAACAAATATGTCACTAGCTATAAACCCTGCTACTATTTGGAACGTAGCTTCTACGTTACTAAAACGTTTCAATATCGTTGCTAGAGCGTTATAATTACTTTTATTTAAGTATTTGTTTTTACTTCTATATTAACTGTCTTTGTCAAACTTATATTAGATTATACTATCCCTCCTTTTTTTAAAGGAACCACTACGGACTTGGCTTTTCAATGTCGTCCTTTATTAAATATGTACTGGTAGTTTATAATTAGGCAGGTAAATTTATAAACCCTTTAAATTTTACTGTTGAATTTATGAATTTAGTTATTGTAAAATAAATGCGCTTCATCAATATTTAAGTATAAACAAATTATTTATTTAATAATATTTATAAATAAAACTAAGATTGTTGATATTTATTATTAATAATTTATTTAATTATTAATACCGTCTATTACCAACAAAATTACTATTTATTAAAAAGTAAACAACCTTTCAGAAACAATTAAAATAATTTATTATTTACATTACCACGTGGTACTCTACAGTAAAAAATGGCCGATAAGAAGCATTTTCCTTTGAAGTAGTTTTCGCTACTTTAAAGTTTTTTTTCACCTTAATTTACTTTACGGTAGTTTTGGTTAGTACCATAAACGTTCCAAATACTAAAATAATAACTTTTATGTTATTAACTTTGTAGTTTTTAACTCATGTTCCAGTTTCGAGATTTTAACTTGCAAAGGGACTACAAAGTAAAAATAATTATAATGTAATCTTTAGATAGCAACCGAAAGTAATTGCTACAAATTAAATTTACTTGAAAGTTTTTTTACTTAACACCTTTTTTAAAGTTGCAAAGTCTTCTTGGGGGCAATCAAGTTTTACTTAAATGTTTATTACTTTATAGTAAGAATTACTTTTAAGTAAAAATTAAAGTAGCTGTTTAGTATACTTAACTAATTAAAAGTTATCACCACTTTGGTAATGGTTTTTGGAACCAAAAATGCTGCTTGGGGTGTCTTTACAAAGCAAACGGAAAAATATAGAACTGTATAGGATGACTCGCCGTTTGAATACTAAATTTTAAAGTTTTATCAGAACTGTATTGAATCGTGCTTTGCTTTTATATTTTTCGGCTCTATACCTATGCACGACTATATTTAAAGTCAAACTCAATAGTATCTTACAAGATATATTATTTTGATTTTCTATATTCAACATAGAGGTTGAAACTCGACCCTGTCGAATGAGGGCAGTCCAATGGTGCAACTTCGGATTCTTATTCTCTTTATAGACAGAAACTCAAGCTTTTCGAATTTTACTAGCAATGATTTTCGTTAATGTCCCCGAGAATTATACAAAAACAGCGCAATGCAATATCGCAACGGTTCCGACTTCTCTTTACTCTACCAAATTATCGAAACTGGAGTCTCTCTAATACTATTTTAGTCAATATTTCTGAGAGCATAAAAATAGGGTGTAATTCAATATTGCAAGAAGTTTTGGTTTTTTGATGGATGAAGTATTTTGAATATTCTTATTTCTGCATAAGATTTTGTTGAAAACAGTTCCTTTCTTTGGTTCCTTTGTCTCAGGTATGTAAAGCACAGAGGATATAATGTAAAGTATATATATTCACTATATAAAGTACCCATATTTGTGAAAAAACGATCGATATGCTATTAAACTTTAATAATTTAGTAATAAGGTCTGTTGGTAGACCCTGCACTATCTCCACTGGTATATGTTAGTACAGAATTAATTTTTGTAACACCCACATAAATGGTTATAAAAATTATTTCTTTTAATTTTTAATAATATTTTATATTTAATTCGATTGCTTTGGATGTGTTTAATTTACTTAGTGAACTGATATTTTTAGTATGCTTTTACTACCTCAGATATTTGAAAACATATCGATGGTTATTTGACAAAACATCGTAAGCGACAATTTTGTTAAATTACTTTTTATTTTATCAAAGTGTCAGTTACGATAAGCTGCACATGTTAACATAATAGTTTTCCCAATTTTGGAATCTAATATTGGTCAGTTTGAATATTTTAATTATTGTAAGAGCCTTAGAACGTAAGCGCCTATATGTTCCCGACAAATAATCGTAAGCAACTCCGAGACATGGCGTTTGCGATTTGACATTGTGTCGCTTACGATATTTTTCTCCCGCCTTGATCTATCAAGGTATTATTCCCGGCCTAAACAGTTTATTCGTGAGTATACCTGCATCGTGGTGACTGCTACCAAGTTTTAAAATAATATTTTATTTGATCAAAAGCTTATAATTACTTTATTTCATTGCATTATTAATAGTTATCCTAATTATAATTGTTGTTAGCTAGTGTGGTTCGTTAACCCGTAACTGGTGAGGTCACTTTTTTGTTACATAACTGGTGAGGTGGGGTTTACCAAACCCCAAATGAAAACTCTACAGGGGGTAGCGAGCCTCGCACCATGATTTAATAAGTGGTATAGATTCTTAGAATGGGTGGGGTTTGGGAAACCCCACCTCACCAGTTACGGGTTAAAAGTGTATTTGTATACAGATACTGATTTGAGAATAAAAAACGTTCTTTTTTTCAAAGAAAGCTAATGTAGATTTTCATTTTCAAACATTGTTTGGCAAAATATCGTTGGTCATATTTCATAAATTAATTTGTTTGTAATTTTTTTTTATTTTATAATAAAACTAAAAAAAATAAATGTCGCTAACGATGTTTTGACAAAAGTAATCATCAAATCTATGTATATCCCACAAAGTAACGTAAATGTAACTTAAGCGACAAGACTAATTTAACATTTTCCTAAAGATGTTTTTATAAAATATCGTATGCCACAAAATTGAATGAAAATTTTAGATTGGATTCGATCTAACTTAAATATCTGAATTTTACATTAATAAAATAATGCCTCACCAGTTTTCAGATACATAACTTTAAAAATAAAGCTCCCACCGAGGCTCCCACACAAAAAAAAATATCTCCTGTAAAATTTAAATAACCATCCATAAAGAGTAACAGTCACGGAGGATAGAGATATACTTTTAAAACATTGTAAAATATAATTAATTGCGGTTAAAAATCTGGAATCTGAGCTGTAATATCTACTTAATAATGAAGGATCAAAACACAATAAAAGTGTAGGTCAAACTCATTTATTAATCACGGGGTAACACCATCGGGGGACATTTCGTGAGATTCGCCCATTTATTGGGGTATATTTGAAAAGGTTGTCATTGTCGTCACGTTTGACCAAAAATGGACATATTCTATGCGATATATCAAAAACTGCATGAAAATAGAGATTTAAATAAAGTTTTTGGCCAACTTCATTTGTAATGATTGGTCGAAAATTTGCAAGACTTTGACCAGTTTGCTTATGCACATTAGCAAGTAGGTATATAAACATGAAAAGGATACAAAATTTCTTTTTTTCCAGAAATATTCTTCAATAGGTATTTAATTAATATAAAATAAACGTCAAAAATGTGGCATCGTTTTTTGATATTCCCAAAATTATATAAACGGTAAGCTACCTAACTGAACCCAAACTGCTTTGGCATTTTATTGGGCACGATTTGATCATTTATTTTTGGCCATCGCGATGCACAAGACACTTAGAAATATAAATTCGTATCTTGTAATTTTATTGGAAAAACATTTTCAAAGGCAAAAGGTAAATTATTAGCCAAGTTTTGACCTGACTCTGGGTACCTTAGTTTTATTGACATTTATTTAATTTTTGTTTATTTGCATGCAATGGTATTAGTGTAACCTTATACAAACAACTTAATTAAAATAAAATATTCCTTTACGTAGTAGGTATTATATTTCTCAAAACAATAAAAACTAGATATGCCTATCTACTTATATGTCCTACTAAGGAATAGGTTATAATTCAATTAAAATATTGTATTTCAATAAAACACCTCATTTCATTTCATGATTAACTCAATAAGTCAACTGATAAATTAATTATATTATTGGATGAATTAAATTGAAACCCTTTAAATGTCTGTATACCTGTAAAAGATACCTACAAATATAAAAGTACATCATTTTATAAAATATTTTTTTAATATTAAGGGTGTATCTCCATTTGAAGAGTTTGATAAATAAATAACACTAGGCCGTGACAGCAAATTCAGCGTTGCCAATACCGCTAATAGTGCTGTAGTAAAAATAAAACTTTGTATTTTAATTAATACTTTATCACAAATTAAAGTATCATTAAAACTAAAATTAACGTAAAAAGTAAATAATTAATATAAATTGTCATATTTTTGCGTTTCTTCAGATGACAGCACGAAATTTTAAAAAGTGCTAAAATTAGTTTTATCTATTTTGCTTTCATATTGACTTCATTATAAGTTATAATTATAAGTTATATATATATATATATATATATATATATATATATATATATATATATATATATATATAACACCGCTTTCGGTGCTGTAATGAGATACTTTATCCCACCCAAAATTTTGACTTCATAGGTTGGGTATACTTTAAACAGCATAATATTTTGCATATTGGTTATATTTTTATGATTTTTCTAGTACTTATGAGGCTTTTCTGGCAATAAATTTTGTTTAACACCAAAGAAAATCCTTTTTTCTTCTTTAACATTAACAGCCGCCTATTGTAAAAAAGTAAATTAAGGACGGCATGGCGAATCCATTTTGACATTAACTGTCAAACCAATGACTGTGATACCAACTATCTAAAGTAAAATTCGACCAAATTAAATTTAAAGTATAAAATAATTTTTTTTATAGAATTTTTGCAAAATAGATAAAATAGCATAAAGAACTCATGTCATAAGCTTAAAAATTGAATATTTGGTATATAAATCTCATGAGCAAGCTCGTGAGATTCAAAATAAAAAAATTGCGTATGAAACCAAATGTAGCTTAAAAAATTATTTTCTTGGAATCTGAGCTGCAAAAAAATCTGAAATTATTTGTGAATGTGCCTCAAAAAATCATATATTAAATTTTGTACAGGTAAGAAGGTATTTGTTTTTAATATTTAAAGCCTTATTATAAAGTAAGTAAGTAGGTATATTAGATATGTTTAAATTAATATGGAAAATAAAAAGCTTTTTAATTATCTTAATAAAACAAAATATGAGTAATAAAAACATTTTATTACCTATTGTGGTAACTTAACAGAATTTCTTCTTATAAGATTGTATTCAAGACACACCTCATATGAAGCTAATGGCAAACACAGCTTATCACAGGATTTCTACAAAAAACAAAAACAGAATAGAAAAATTATGAACAAAAATTAAAATAATATGAATTACCTTTATTTCTTGGTATAAAGTATCATTATTAGGAACTCCTTTAATATTTTCCTTCAGAAAATATTTTTTTAGTCTCAACATATCCTCAACACTACATTTAATTGTAATATAATTTGAATCATGATTATAAATTAAGGTATGTTTATTATACCCAGTAGAAAATTGTACAGCAAAATTATTTTCAGTTGAAAGTTCAGAAAAAAGATCCACGTCTAATTGATGGTAGGAATTATTTAAAAATATTTTTGTTAACTGTTCCTTTTTTATTAAACATTTAAAATTATAATCAATAAGATATGGTTTTCTTAGAGAATCAAAATTATAGTTACTGTAGCATTTATTTAGCTGCAACAATTTTTTATCAAGATTTTCCAATTTGGTTTTATTGTTAAATGTATGAAAATGATATGATATATCTAAATTAACAGTATGTAATTTAATCCTAAGCCAATTATCATCAGTTTTTAATACTAAATAAGTTTCAACAGTACATTCAACAACTGATTCATTAACAGGTATTATTTGTATGATTGGACTTTTGCTTTCGTAAGGTATACTTTTATAAATACGTTTGTTCTCATATTGAACACTTACATTCAACATACAATTAAACTCACTAATCTTTTGTTGCAGTGATTTTACTATAAAAATTTCGATTAAATAAAACTTAAAACCTTTTAGTTTAACTAAATTATTGAAATCACTGTGAGGCACTTCACTATAATAAACATTGTGCATCTCAAAGATATCACTAAAAACTTTGACAAGCACCAAAGATATGTTTTCATTTAATTTTGAGTTGGCCAACTGGGTAATTATAATTTTATCATTTTGTTTCTGAATATCTTTTTTAAGTTTTGCATTTTTGTCATGTTCATTATTAATTTGTTCAATTATATCCTCATAATTTTCGAGTTGTGATTCTGATATAAAATCCACCTAAAATAATCAGGCAAACCATTATTATTATTACTATTTTATTAATATAAAACTTACCATTTTAATTTAAAGAATACAATAGCATTATAAAGAATCTTGTTTTGTTAGGTTATGTTCTTTAGAAACATTTGAATCTTCCTCTTGAAGTTTCCGCAGCAGTTCGTTACACTCATCGGAACCTACTTTACCTTCCTCTCTCATTCGAAGAATAGCCGCTAGGATGTGCTGATTGGCCTGGCGTAATTTATAGCATATTGTTTTTTCTGTTTCGTAATGTCCTTCCGATTCATGTAGTTTTAACGTTAATTCGCATCTTCAATTAATATAATTATTTTATTAGGAAAGGGTTAAGAAAAGTTTATTTTTTAATCCTTAAATAAAGTGCCATCTTTAAGTCAAATGTTAAAACACAAATATGATAGCAATAAAACATGGTAGGTTGCTACAGTCAGGCTAATTCAAAGAACTTTAATGTAAATAGATGCTAGTTTTTTTAGAAAATTAAAAGGTAAGTAGCTTAATTAATTAATTAGTTAATATAGGTACTTTGTTTAGTAATTATAATTGAATAAACTAACCTTTGAAACTCCAAATTGGTTATTTGTTGTTGAAAACTAGAAAGATCTTCCTTTAAATTAACAATAATGTCGTAACTGTTGTCCAGCTCCATTTTTAACATTTTTGCTCTGTTCTAAGAAACATTTTTTAAACTAAATAAGCATAGGTACGTAAGTATCGCCTATTTACCTCTGTGTTTTTATAATTACTTAATTCTAGCTCGGATATACTTGACCCTTGCGATTCTCTCAACTAAAATTACAACATTTTATAATCAAAGTTTATAATGGGCATGTAAAAATAAAACCTCGCTTTCCAACTGAGAACATTTCAAAGACGCTTCATTCCATTGTATTTTAATGTATTCCTTTTCTTTTGTAAGCTCTTCAATTTTCTCTTTTTCTCTATTTAGGTTTAATAGAGCCTTGGTTATTTGATCTCTCATTTCTTGCTAAAATAATCATTTAAGGAGGTTCTTGCACGACAGTTGGTCACGATAAGGAAATTTTAATTTTTTTTAGATGTTTACAGGGTGATTCTTTAGAAGTTTATAGAGAAGGAAAAATATATCGATTTAAAAGTTGTAGGTATAGGTATAAGGCAATGTAAACTCTTTTTTAAAAGTATTTTTAATGCGTTAAACCGGAAGATATAAGTATATCAACTTCTAGTAAAATTTAATTATTTTTTTTGTTTTTAACAGTTTTTGATCTCTATCTATATTTCTAAATGTTACAAGAAATGAAAAAAAAAACGAATATTTTTTTATTTGTAATATTAGTATACTACACTGTGCACAATTGTCAGAGACGTTGACATTGACATTACTTTATAAATACCAAATAAAATACAATCCTACACACACTACTGATATTACAAATAGTTTTTTTACATTTTTTGTAATTTCTCTGTTAATATTCATTTTAGGTATGCTGCAGCCTCAATATAAAACATTATTTTGTGTCGAATGATGTGAAAATTGTATGGTACTTTCCTTAGAAATAAGACAGTTATTGGTATTTAAAGTGACAAAAAAGTCAACGTAAATACCAGACACCCTGTATAAAATTTTCAAATACTATAAATGGCTTTCGATAGAGTGCTCCTTAGTTAACAGTTATACCAAAAATTAATTTATTAACTTTACAATTAGTGGTAATACAGACATATTAGTTTGATCATTCATCTGACAAAAATTTAAAAAAAATCAATTATCTCAAAAACTGTTAAAAATAATTGCTATATATACAAATTTCAAATAAATAATAAAGAAGAAAAAATAGTTTTAATTTTTGTGGCAACATAAACGTCTTTTTAAAAAGATTTTTTCCACCAATTTTTAAGATTGGTTTAAAAAAATACAACATATTTGTTTTGACCCTTTAAAGTATAAACCGGCCCTTAATACAATGTTTATAAAAATCTTTACCTTTTCTTTTTGTAACTTTCTCAACGCCTCCTGAGTTTCCTGCAGATTTACAAGAACTTCCTGCAACGATTGTTTTTTGTTTAAAAGTTCTGTGGTACTGTTTAAATATTTAGCGGATATTTCATTATACAATTCCAAGGAAACTTGATTACGCTTTTCGTTTTGTAAAGTCTCACTTAGCTCCACTAATTGTTTATTTAACGATGAAATTTCATTATTTAATGACTTGTTGGTCTCTGAATGTTTGCTGAAAGCAAATTTATTACTGTATTTGCAAAATAAAAATGTATTTACTACTTTAGTTCCTCTATATTCTGTTTTAAGTCTAGATTTTCTTTGCTATATTCATGTAAATTTTTTTGCAGTTTTTTTAATTCTTCAGTTTTCTTTTTTACATCATCGCATGATTTTTTGTGTTTATTTTCCAATGTTTGTACATCCTTTAGTAGTTTTTTGTTTTCTTGTTTTAGATTGCAAATTGTTCTAAAAAATTATTTTATTTAGTTTTAAAGTAATTAGGTATTATTAAATACTGTAAATTTTCATTGGTTGCATCAAGAGTATTTTGATTGGTTCTCATATGGAAAAGTTCGGTTTGAGCCAATTGTAAGTTCTATAAAAATCGGTTAAATATTTTGAAATATTTTAACAAAATTTGTTACCCGTCCTAGCAAGTCAAACTCCAATTCAAATTTGGAAATTAAAGATTTATATTCATCGATTTCTTTTTTGTATGCTTCTTCTTTTTCCACACTTGACTTTATGCTTGTTTCAAAATCTTAAAAATATTTTTAAATTTTTAATAAAAACAACTATTTTAATTACCGGACAAAACTTTTTCGCACAAACTGTTAACATACTCAATTTCCGTCATTAATTTTTCTTTTTCTGCTGCTAAATTTTGAATGGATTTTTGGAATTGAATATTTTCGCTTTCTAAACTTTTGTTTATGGATTCAGTTTTAGTTACATTATCGGTGGCGTCTTTTTCACGTTTTCTTGCTTCGTTTAAATCGCTATGCAGCCTTTGAGTGTTGTTTTGCAAATATTGTACCGAGTTTTCCAGTTCTTCGTTTTGTTCAGTTAACTAAATTGTACAAAATTATATGGATGATTTAAAATCCAAAATATTTATACCCAGATAGCACAGAGACATCTTAAAGAAGTCGGACTCAGACGTTTATGACATCTCTAAGACGTCCATCTTACGACATAAGTCATCTTTAAGACGTCTTTAAGATATCTAATGTTAAAAAACACAGCGTCTTTAAGATGTCCTTTAACGGCATTATTAAGTCGTTGCTAAACGTCGCTAAGACGTCTTTAAGATGTTAAAGAGTGCCTATTTAAAACGTCTTGGTTATGCATTGCTACATCGACAAAACGTTTTAAAGGTATTAAAATGTAGCTAATAATGCTTTTAAACTCCTAAAAATAGCGTACCTATATTTCTATTTAAAATAATAAAAATTAAATTGTTACATATTTATTTCTGCCTATTAATATTAATTCAAATCAATAGAGTCAAAACTTCCTGGAAACCCTGGCGAAAATGAAATGTGCAAAAAGTATGCAAAATTATTTGAAAACAATGTGCCAACAATGTGCAATCTTTTAAAAAAAAATGATGTGCGGAGGGTGGGAAACCAAAAATTTAAAAGTTGAATAATCACTGGACAATGTTCTAAAGGGAACTCCTTTTCATATTTCACATTGTTTGCACAATGTTTCTTGCCATCTGTGTGCCTATTACAAAAACAGATTCTTTTTGGTGACCTATAAAGTCTTTTAAATTTACACATAATTGAAATATAAATATCCTTATAATAATATTAATCAAATAAATATTTAAAAAAAAAAAATTAAAAAAAAAATACCCACAATGTAGCTCCTACATACTGTATTTTATTAAGAAAAATACCTGCACTGTCAACTCCACGAAGAGGATTGCTTTAAACTTAGCAATAGGCCGAGAATCGATACATAAGATGGAATCTACCTCACCTTTTAAATAAATGTTGTACACCAACTCAAGCGAGATATATCTAAAATGTGAGTGTTGAGTGATCGCTAAAACTGTACAAACAATGTGCTATAAAAAGGTGTAATATAAGCGTCATAAATGAGAAATAACAGTGTGTACATGCGTAAGATAGACTGAAGCTTTGCAAAATGTCTTTAAACAATGTAATAACACTGTGCAAACAATGTGCTAAAATATTATGTTATATAAGCGTGACATATGACAAATAAAAAGCATGATGTCAATGTACATAAAGAGTGAAAAAACTTAATTATTTCAAAAAGTGTGAAATTACCACAAAGTAGCGTGTATGCACATTGTTATAAAGACTTGCACTCCAAATACACACTTATTGCACACTTTTTATGCACGCTTTATTTTCGCCAGGGAAGTAGAGCCCTTCTTAAGTGTATTATAGGTGGATATCAGGGTCAGAGACCGGAGCTATCAATTATTTTCTCAAAAAACAGCACAAAACGACACCAAATTCACAAAAAAATCGAATACCAACACTGCACACTGCTTTGACTTGTCACTTGAGTTGTTGAACGTCGAACGGGGATACGAAAAAGAAAACCCGCCACGATTAGTAATAGCATTCAACCAAATTCAACATATAAGAAGCAAAAATGGCGTCGGATGTCTGCAATAAATTTTATAGTTACGAGCATGATACATTGAAAAGAGGCAGACATATCAGCGCTGGCTGAAATAAAAAATAACAGCATAAGAATCACATGGCGTGACTTATAAGTGCCGATTTGATGATTTCATTGCATTATGGGAAATGTGCGGGTAATTTGATTTAAAAACATTCACTAGGTTATTTTAAGGTTATTTTGTCCTAATACTTAATTTTTAAAAAACATGTTTGCTTATAATGTTTTTATTACAAATGGATATTATTAATTGGAGGAAAAATGACCAATCTACAAAAATGTCAGATATATGTTTATTCAGTTACCCTACCATTCATCGTTGTCAAAACTCAAAATCCTACATTAATGTTGTTTCTATTATATCTAACTATGAAGTGGCTGATTATGGGATATAATTTTAATTTTGACTTGTCAATATTCACTATTTTATCGGAAAATATAAAAAAACAAGCGGCGGTATCGGGCACTTATATGTCTTTAGAACATTGAATGAAGATATCTTTAAGACGTCTATCATAAAACGTCTTTCAGACGTCTTTTTTAGATCATCAGATGTTCAGGCATAATAACGACATACAAAAGACATCAAGACGTTGTGTGCTATCTGGGTACCTGTTTTGAACTAATTTGCAAAGAAGATATGGTTGTTTGAAATTCTCGCATATCTCTACCCAACTTTGTTTCAGTTTGTTTGCACAATTCTTCACTGGCCTTAATGCTTTCAGATAGCTGAAATATTTTTTGATCTTTTTTATTTGTTCTAGCAATTAGAGCGTCCACCTTCTTCTGTACGTTTAGAACATTATTTTTTAATTCTTTGATCTAAAATACAAAACAAGTTTTAAAGTTGCACAATAGTTTTCGATGAAAACCTCTCGAATGTATTTTTCTTGTAGAATAAGTAATCGATCTCTTTCCTCCACCACTTTCTTCAATTCCGAAAATAAATCCTTCAGAGTTTCCCGTTCAGCACTTTCTTTTTCCTGGAGCTGTCTAACCTGTGAAGTAGCCGTTGATTCCAGGTCTTTTTGGGCTTCGCATAGAGCTTGATTTTTTTGAACTTCAATTGAAAGAACCCCCGACAGTTGCTCCTTAATGTTACAAACTTCGGATAATTCATAGCACAGCGATAACTTTTCCTTCGCGTTTTCCATTTGTAGACTGTTGAGTTTTTCCATATTTCCTTTCAGTTCTGATATCGTATTGTCTCTTTGAGCAACTTCGTTTTTTAGTTTTTCCCCTACTTGCTTATTAAAGTCTGCTATTAACTAAATAAAATATTAAATTAAATTAAATATTGTAGCGAGTACCGCTCTGGATATCGGAGTGATGACTCATCGCCGGTTAGTCATCGCCGATGAGTCATCGCCGGTGACTCAGCGCTCGAACAATCGAGAGTGTGGAGCTCGCTGGAATGTTCCAGAAGACCTTGGCGCTGAATATATAAGAAACGGAGCAGCACACGGCAGTCAGTTATGATTTGGTACTCGCGGCGAAATAAATAAATATAAGTGCAAATAAATAGACTCTTGAACAATAGTGATATATAAATAATTAGTAGTTAAGTGTTTAGTTAGTTTTTTAGTGTTTTAAGTGTAGTTAAGTTATTAAATAAATAGTTTAGTTCGTTAATTAACCAGTGCGTGTTTTAATTCACACTACGAACAGTTAAAAACGTTACAATTGGTGTCAGGTGTGGGGTTAGTGTGAAACTTCGCGAAAATGGTTTCGTTAATGGACTTAAAAGTGGCGGACCTTAAGCGGGAGCTGGAAGAACGAGAATGTGAAACAACTGGGAAAAAGAATGTGTTGCAGCAGCGGCTTCGAGAAGCGTTGGAACAGGAAGGTGAAAATCCAGATACGTATTTATTTGAAGGTTCATGTGATATGCATTTATTGTTGCAAAATTTAAAAAGCGATTTGCAACAGAAAATGTTGGAAAATTCTAACGAGTTACAACAGAAAATGGTAGAAAATTCTAGCGATTTAAAAATCGATTTACAACAGAAGATTCTGGAAAATTCCAACGATTTACAACAGAGAATTCTGGAAAATTCTAACGAGTTGCAAAAGAAAATGCTGGAAAATTCTAACGAGTTACAACAGAAAATGTTAGAAAATGTCAACGATTTAAAGGACGATTTGCAACAGAAAATGCTGGAAAATTCTAGCGAACTACAGCAGAAAATTCAGGAAAATTCAAAAAATTTAAAGGAATGTTTGGAACAGAAGATTCTAGATAATGTTAAGGAATTAAAAGAGGACGTAAGGATGAAATTAAATAACGTAAGGATGGAATTGAATGACGTAAGGATGGAATTGGATGATAAATTGGAAGTCAAAATTAAAGAAATAAATAGTAAACTGACAGCTGTAAATCTACCCATGATGCTGGCGGAACCAGGAACAATGCCAGAGGGAAGCCGAGTACGGATGAAACCACCTCAGTTCGATGGAAAAACTTCTTGGACCAACTACATACGTCAGTTTGAGGCAGCAGCAAAAGCAAATGGCTGGCTACCAGAGGAGAAGGCTACAGCATTAACTCTTGCTTTACGCGGAGATGCAACGGACATCTTGCAGACACTTTCTCCAAACGAACAAGAGGATTACGAAGCCTTAGTGAAACACCTGGAACTGCGATATGGCCAGACACATCTGGAACATGTCTACCATTCCCAACTGAAGAATCGCTGCCAGAAATCGAACGAGACTCTACAAGAATTCGAGGCTGATATTGCACGCTTGGTTCGGCTAGCATATCCAGCTACTCCAACGACCGTTATGGAACGATTAGCGGTTCAAGCCTTTTTGGATGGACTTCGGGACAACGAAACAAGACAGGCTCTGACGTTGGCTCGTCCGAGCCAACTGGTTGATGCATTGGCCCGAGCTTTGGAATTCGAGGCGGCAAAGCAGAGCTGCAGGAGCCAGCATAGAATTAGGAGAGCCGAGGAAGAAAAAGAGGAGGAACCCAGTATAATCGAAGAAATCAGGCGAGTTCTTAAAGAGAATCTACCAGAAAAGAAGGAAATACGGTGTTGGAGATGTGGAAAGCTCGGACATATACGAAGTCGTTGCAGAAAAAGCCAGGAGGCGCCGACTTTATCCAAGTCGGAAAACTAGATAGGGTCGAGGAAAAGGGGCAACCGTCGACCTGTAACCAACATGCCCCAGAGGATATCGAACGTGTCGCATCTCTTCTACATCAGTCCAGCAGTGTTTTTGTGGATGGTTTAATTAATGGAAAATTACATGTGCTGCTGCTGGATACAGGTGCGACGAAGACAATTATTAGGCCAGATATTGTCGAAATGTCCAAGATCAAACCTACCAATCGGCGACTACGTACTGCAACAGGAGAAACCGCTACTGTTCGTGGAGAAGTGGACATCACGATGGTCATAGGAAATACGAAATTTAAACATCGAGCATTAGTTGCAGATATTGAAGATGAAGTTATTGTAGGCATGGACATTATGAACTCTATAGGATTTGAACTGGACTTTAAGCAAGGAATATTGAGAGTAAATGGAGAAGAAGTCGTGTTGCATCGATCGAAAGAAAAGAATATTCGTGTAATGTTAACAGAAGATGCTTTGATACCGGAACAAAGCGAGATGATATTGAAGGCTTCCTTGGATTGTAAATCAGAAGATGGAAGTATAATGCTTCTGGAGCCGAGAATTGATGACAAAGAGGTCGGTCGAGGAGTTGTAGTAGGGAAGACTTTAATACGTGTCGGAAAAGAAGTGCCAGTAAGAGTATTGAATGTTAATGGCTACTCTGTGAACTTGAAAAAAGGAATCGTTTTGGGGAACTGTTCTTCTGTTTCTTCAATTATTAGAAGCATTCGTGAGTCTGGAGTTCCGGCCAAGAAAATTAGCAATGAATTGACGACTCTGCTTTCGACTTCTTCAAAGGACTTAAAACCAAATGAGAGAATAAAGCTGAGAGAGCTGATACACAACTATCAGGACGTCTTTGATGATGGACAAGAAAAGAAGGGTAGGACAAGAATTGTCCAGCATAAAATTAACACCGGTGATGCACAGCCCATTCGACAGTCGGCAAGAAGGCTACCACTTGCCAAGCGAGAGGAAGCTGATAAAATTGTGCAAGAAATGGAGAAGGAAGGGGTGATCGAACCATCCAACAGCCCATGGTCTTCCCCAGTGGTGTTAGTTAAGAAAAAGGATGGATCAACTCGATTTTGCGTCGATTTTCGTCAGCTGAACAACGTGACGAAGAAGGACAGCTACCCTCTACCTAGGATAGATGACACCCTGGATACATTGGCTGGATCCCAAATATTTTCGACTCTGGATTTGAAAAGCGGTTACTGGCAGGTTGAAATGGCACCAGAAGATAGAGAAAAGACGGCGTTTACCGTGGGTGCTGGACTGTGGCAGTTTACTGTCATGCCGTTTGGACTATGTAATGCCCCTGCAACTTTTGAAAGGCTCATGGAAATGGTTTTGAAGGGACTATCCTGGAAGACATGCTTGGTGTACCTTGATGACATCATTGTGGTTGGGAAATCATTTGAGGACCATATGAGGAACCTGAAGGAAGTCTTTCATCGCTTAAGAAGTTCTGGCCTGAAGCTTAGCCCAAAGAAATGTCACTTGTTCCAGAAGGAAGTGCAGTATCTGGGCCATGTCGTTTCAAGTCAAGGAGTTGCAGTGGATAAACAGAAGGTGAAGACGGTGCGGGAATGGCCAGTACCGAAAAACAAACATGACTTAAGAAGCTTTCTTGGATTATGCACCTACTACCGGCGGTACGTACCTGGATTCGCAAAGGTTGCTAAGCCTTTGACACGTTTAACAGAGGGAGAAAGACGATTTCAATGGGACGAAGAATGCCAAGAAGCCTTTAAGAACCTGAAAAACGCGTTGACCAGCTCACCAGTCCTGAGTTATCCTCTTCCGGATGGTGAATTTATTTTGGACACGGACGCCAGCAATGTTGGACTGGGAGCTGTTTTGTCGCAGATTCAAGAGGGAAAAGAGAAAGTTATTGGATACTTTAGTAAAACTTTATCCAAACCAGAACGAAATTACTGTGTTACTCGACGCGAGCTGTTAGCAGTGGTAAAATCAGTCGAACACTTTTACAAGTACCTGTATGGAAGAAAATTCTTGCTAAGAACGGATCATGCTGCCCTTAAATGGCTTTTGCAATTCAAGAATCCTGAAGGACAGGTAGCAAGATGGATTGAGAGACTACAGGAGTTCGACTTTGACACAGAACATCGGGCTGGGACCATCCATAGAAATGCTGACGCCTTGTCAAGAAGACCCTGCCCGGAAGACTGTAAACATTGTCTTAGGGCCGAAGAAAAGGATGTGTTTGTTCGCAGAACTACAATCGTGGATGATCATTGGCAATCCGCTGAGGTTCAACAAGACCAGGAAAGGGATCCGGATTTGAAGCTTATCATCGATTGGAAGAAGAACGACCGTAAACCAACGTGGCAGGAAGTCGCCCAATATTCGCCGAATGTGAAATCGTACTGGGCCCAATGGAATTCCATCATCCTAAGTGACGGGCTTCTAAAGCGCGTTTTGGACATGCAAGAAGGGGGGGAAGACCGGAAGCAGATAATAATCCCCAGAAACAGGATACCAGAAGTGCTGCAGGAAATCCATGATGGAACTACTGGAGGACATCTTGGGGTGACCAGGACGCTCGGAAGGCTTAGGGAACGGTTTTATTGGGTCAACAGCCAACGGGATGTGAAGGAATGGTGCAAGAAGTGCGCCGTTTGCGCGGCAAGCAATGGACCCCAGAAGCGCCCAAAAGCCCCAATGCGACAGTACAATGTGGGCAGCCCATTTGAGAGAATTGCAATCGACGTGGCGGGTCCATTTCCGGAAACAGAATCTGGAAATAAATACATCATCGTTGTAATGGACTACTTCAGCAAGTGGGCGGAAGCGTACGCCTTGCCAAACCAGGAAGCTGCCACAGTGGCCGATGCCCTTATTAAGGAATGGATTTGTCGTTTTGGTGTGCCAATGGAGATGCATTCAGACCAAGGCAGGAACTTTGAATCTATATTGTTCCAGAATGTCTGTAAGATTCTTAACATTCGGAAGACGAGGACGACTGCATTACATCCGCAGTCCGATGGAATGGTAGAACGAATGAATCGAACGATAAACCGGTACCTGTCCAAGGTAGTCTCTGATCACCAAAGAGACTGGGACCGCTTTCTTCATCTGTTCCTGTTGGCGTACCGTTCTTCTATCCACGATACAACCGGCCAGACACCCGCTAGCATTGTTATGGGACGTGAACTTCGTCTACCTTGTGACCTGAGATTTGGTTGC